CGTGGAAAAATTCTGTGCAATCCTCATGTCACTTAAGACCTGCGACCTGCAAAAAACTACACTGCCTTCTGCTAACCAGGTCACATCCCCTCTTCCTCTACCAAGGTCTCACCAGGTGGGACAAGAAGGAGCCCACAGAAACAGTGCTGGTCTACCTCCTACCATCCTTCCCTCCCAGCACAGTCTTTCTGCCCTTCCCCTTCTGTAAAGCAGGTGACTTCTGCACATCCTGTGAAGGCAGCGGGAACAAAGATGCATTTCCCAAGGTCTACAGTGCGGAACCTCAATGGGAAAGGGGGAGACATAGGAGATCCCTGACATAGTGCACTCAGGGAAAGCAGACACTTTCAGACATTTTGTGCCCAACTCTCAAGAGAGAGGTTTGCCTCTTCTGCAAACTTGCACATCAGGCAGTTTACCTCCCTAACTCCAGAGTCAGCTTTTTTGGCCAACATGGCCACGAACTGCCATGGTTTTGTTCTCTGTGTTGGTCCAACCCTTCACTGACCCCTTTCAACTTGCAGGGCTTGGGGGAAGTGGGGGTAGGGAGGCAAAGGGAAAAAAAAACCACTGACAGTAAAAAAAAAAAACAAATTTTCTTCTGCCAGCGCAGCACATAAATGGATTAGTAAAAGCTCTCCCTTGTGCCGGAGCAAAGGAACGGACACAAGCACAGACGTGGGGTGAACATAGCTGCAGCAGCCAGCTGCTATACCAGCTTAAACTGGCACAGAGGAGCAGCTGACTGCAACCAGCTGTCACCAACCCTTAGGTGACACTCTGCCTCAGTTCACCCATACCCATTGAAGCACACTCCCTCGCTCCTTCCTTGAGACTGCCCTGCCTACACAGAAGCTGTACCTGCAGCCAGAAGGCAGCACACTCCAGAACAGGAACCCTGCACACAGCCACTGCCATGGAAACCAGCTTTCCTAGTAAAGCCATCCTGCTGTCATCTGCTTTGTTTCCTTGAGGGCTGAAGAGAGACGAGAAAATGATCTGCCGGACTGAATCCTTGGTTTGCTCTTGGAAATAATTGCACATGATCTCAAGGAGCTGAAGTTCCTGAAGTGAATTCAATCTCTGAAAGAAAACAAAAGCAAAGCTGCAAAATACACTGGGGCTCTTGAAGAACCAAGAGCCGCTTTAGTGAGAGGACAGGAACAGTAAAAGCTGAGAGTTTCCCTCAGGTGCTAGAAACTCAAACTTTATGCGTAGTACATATATTTAAGCTTCCTGAACCACCACTGCATTTACCTAGTTACACTGAAAAGCTCTAGGTCATATCTGAATACCTGGATACCCAAGACTGGTGCTTGCTGTACCTGCAAGTGCTGCTCACCAACTGAGATGAGACCAACAGCAATACAAGGGTGAAAAGTATTTCCTCCTTCTGCAAATAACAACACTAAGGGTGCTGCTGGGCAGATGGCGGTGGGGTGGTGTCACAGCTGGGCCCAGCAGCCCACCAGATGCCAGGCCCACGCACCCTGACATTCAGCAGCAGTTGTGGTTTCTGGTCGCTGCTCTCTGGGATGTCCCCACCTCAGCTCCAGCCCACTTCCAGCCACCTAAAAACGCTGGTAGGGCCCAGCCGCTGCACTGTGAGGCTGTGGGCAGGCCCCAGGGGCCTTGGGCCCCACCACACCTCCCTGCGG